GCGATACAAAGACATTGGACGTCACGTTAAGGTCATTCAGAAGTTAACAAATTGTTTTAAACTGAGGATAAAAGACAACGATCAGATTTGTTTTCTCTACATCACTCTAATTGCTATTGGGGAACTGACCAGAGACCAGTAAGACTATGAAAGGAGAACAGTAGCTTGTTGCAAAAAAATCCAGGTTAGAAATAACAATTACCTAGCTGAAAATCAGTCCAAATTAGGGAAACAATAGTCTACCTAAGTACCCTACAACCTCACTCAAATGACCAAATAAGGTTTGGTTGCGCCATACAAGCTAAGTTTTAAACCATGAACAACTTCTACGGATATAAGTGCTAAAAAACTATAAATCCATAGTGACCATGGTCAAATCAAAGTTTCCTGTACAATCCTAAAAAATATGGACTTGTAGTCGGATTCAATCCCTCGCATTCCCTCACCTTCCGTATTCTACAGTACCTAAATTCAGTCTAAAGATCTCCAAAGCATCTCTAGATTCTATCCCATGGTCTTCCCATCTTCATTGCCACTGGACCATTGTGAAAGCGTCCTACTATTCCCCTCTCTTGTCTCTCCCTCTTTAATCCATCCTCCAAAATGTTGCCCGTTAATCTTAAGAAAAAAATAGAGAGAGCTTTCAAAACCCAACCTACTTACAGACTTTTGATGGCTCCCCATTGCCTGCAGGATGGAGCTCAAATCTTTATCACCCACACTGAAGACTGTCAGAACCTGGCCCAGCGTTGCTTGCTCACTTCATCTTTTGCCATCCCACCTACTCCAAATGCAATTCCCTCTGCCCCAGACACTTTTCGGGTTCTTCTCTACTCAGTAAGTTCTCATCATAAAGTCATTAACTCCTCCATGAAATCTCTCCAGGCCAGTCAAGCTCAACGTGTCCTTTGTGCTTCCGTTTTCCACGGTATTTCTATCTATCGTACTAATGGCGTGGTTATCACCTTAAGTCACAGACAGTTACATGTGTTTGTCTTCCAAGTGGATTATTTGTGTTTGAGCGTAGGGACACCGCTTTATTCATCTTTGTATTCCAGGCACCTAGTACTGTGTGTATACCTTAATTCTCACTAAATTAATATATATTAACCTTATTTGCAACCTATAGCCATTAACGCCTAAAACAAGATGATGCAAAAAAAAAAAATGGGACAGATTCTGTAATCTTCAGTAAGCCAAGAGCACAAGCAAAGCACAAGACAGTATGCAAGCCTAGAGGAACAATACTCACAGATTCCAAATATTAAAAAGCACTAAATTACTAGGCCTAGATGTCTGTGTTGACTTTCTGCTATCAGATATAAATGTGATTCTTCTATAGTGAAATAGTGTGCCAAGAAAGCATCAAACAGTCAACAAATAAAATGCTTGATTTAAATAATACAGGAATTAATCCACATATACTTTGAGAGCAAGGACTGTTACTCTCATTTTACAACTTTTTAAACTGAGGCACAGAAACATTAAGCAACTTGCTCAAGGATACACAGCTGGCAAAGGGCAGAACTAAGGTTTACACACAGGTTTTAACAATTCCAAAGCCCATGTTCTAACCATTGGACTATATTCAGGGCGATCCTTGTCTACACTACTTAGCTAAAAGCTCCATGAAGTCAGGGGCTATGTCTATCTTATTCATCAATGCATCTCCGAGGCCTATTCAAGGGCTTGGCAAGGTCTCGAGGGGTCCATAGTCTCTTGAAGTCTTTTGCAATTTGTGTATGTAAATATAATTTATCTAGAGATAGGGTCAATAAAAACAAGTGACACTTATGAAGAACTTACTATAAATCAAGCAGTGTTTTAGATGCATTATCTCATTCTGTCACAACAATACGTACCAGGTGGTGCTCACTATATGCCAGGCATTGTTTTCACGTTAACATACATAATCATCATCCCAATCCTATGCCATGGGTATTATAATTAGATGCACTTCAAAAATGGAGACACTGGGCCTCAAAGAGGTTAATTTACCCAAGTCCCCCTGTGTTCCCCTTTTAGTAAATAGCTGGGCAAGCATATAAACCTCGCTATGTGATAACAAAGCCTTCTCTCTTGGCTTATGCGCCATGAGCTCCTCATCCTCAAAGACCTTCACATCCCCAAAGTGTTAAGAGAATCACGAAAAAAAGAAAAAAGATGAACTCATGCATTCTCCAGAAAACCGTCTTGATAAAACCAAAGGTTTTCACAGCAACACAACAACAGAGGCTATGAGCTAATTCTCCCACGTAGACGGCTATTATGTAATCATATATTAAATACAAGGCAGGAAGTATAGGCAGATGCGTTCTTTAAGGTGTACCCATAATGAACGGGCAAGATAGTACTGAGTTCCAAAGGTACTTACATAAACTACCCAATATGTACACATGTAGCTCCCGATACAGCAGAAGCAGAGGTGCTACTAGCCCTTACAGGCGTTTTGCGACCTAAAAAGTGCCTTCCCCGGGGAACACCCAGACAAGAGCAAAGGTTCATGGCTTGACCTGTGGGGTCGGGTCAAGGTTTCAGTCCTCGCTTCCCCCTCAGCTGGGCACCCCTGTGCAGTGAGCAGCCCATGACCACGTGGAACAGCTATGGTTACGCTCATGGCCTAGAGCCACAGTGCCTGGATTTGAATCCCCAGATTTATCCCCGTAGATGTGTGACCTTAGTCAAGTTCTTAAATTTCTGTCCACTTCACTTTCCCATCTGAAACGGGGAATATATTAGTATGAAGTATACAAATTTACTTAAAGAATCTAAAAGAAACAGTACATATAAATGGTTTACGACAGTACGTAGGACATATTCAGGATTCAGCGAGGATTAGCTAAAATATATGTATTGTTAACATTAAAATCACAATAGCAACTACTAGGCACACCATTGTCACTTATTTGCAATATAGAAATTCTCACTTATGCGTCAGTATCTCTAGCCATTCAGTAAATGGATAGAGAGTAACTAATGCAGTGACAGCTTTTATAAGCTCAAAATAAGACAGTATTTTGAAATGCATTTAATTCTCTTTCCACTTCAATATATTTCTTATGCGAAATTCTCAAACTCTTCAAATCAGATGTTTCAAGACTGGTTTATATAATTTCCAGATATTTTTTCTTTGGTTTTTTTTTTTTTTTTTTTGAGGAAGATTAGCCCTGTGCTAACATCTGCTGCCAATCCTCCTCTTTTTGCTGAGGAAGGCTGGCCCTGAGCTAACATCCATGCCCATCTTCCTCTACTTTATACGTGGGACGCCTACCACAGCATGGCTTTTGCCAAGCGGTGCCATGTCCGCACCCGGGATCTGAACCTGCGAACCCGGACCACCGAAGCGGAACGTGGGCACTTAACAGCTGTGCCACCAGGCCACACCCATTTCCAGATATTAAACTCCAATAATAAGAAATCAATTTTCAACAATCAGACAGGCAACATTCGAAACACATCATTATTATCCACTGTTGGCAAGAGCAGGGTAAATATCCTGTGGGTACTCAGGAAGGCTCTCTTTACAATGTCTATCAAATTCAAAGAGAACATCCCCCTGGAACCAGCAATTCTTTTCTCAGAATAAATCTTCTGTAGTACTCTCGCAAGGATAATGTACACAGATATTCACTGACTCACTGATTGTAATAGTAAGAAATTGGAAAATTCAAGTGAAGATTCTGGGGGATGTCGGCTGGCTATATTGTGCAGACACATCAAAAAAGGAATCTTCACATATTGACAGAGAAATTTTTCAAAACCATTAAGTGAAAAATAAATTTTGAAACACTGATCTGATATGAAGCATTATCCAATTTTTTGAAATAATGAAAGAAAAATTCCTGTGGTTCTACACACGAAGGGACATAAACGCAACCATCCATGGCGGGTACACATACGGAGTGGAATAGAGAAAGGGGTTCACTTTATATTTTGCTATAATTTTCAAGTTGCTTTATAAGAAAGTAGTGCTTTTGGAATTCATAGAAATAACAAGAAGTTTCAAAAGAAACAGGGAACTCAAAAATAAATACTTATTTGCATGCGGGTATTAAAAAAAATCTTAGCAATCCTCAAAATTAACTTGTGGTGTCCTATATGCTTATAATCATAATTGCAGAACAAAGTGCTTATGAGGTCTTAAGAGACACACTTTATTTAGTAAAAAGGTTGTACTACCTCCATAAAGCATGTTGAGAAAAATTCCATATTTGTAGGCCTGTAAACGGAGCTCAGGAGGAATGAGAAGAGAACAAATGGCTCTCAATTTCCACTCCACTTTGAAAAGTGAAAAACCAGTCTTTACCACCACTGTCACCTCCCTCTCCCCCACCCTCCCCCAAATGGTACCAGAGAGGAGCCCAACTCTACTTGGCCACTGACTTCAAACGCGCAGTAAATACACCATGTGGCTTGACTGAGAGCATCCACAGAAGAGGAAAATAGAGGGAAATGTAGTGAGAGGGTGGGGACAGCAGGATTAGCATGGAACAATGGTGATAGCTGGAGGGGAAGAATGTTTTAATGATGAAGAAAGAGAAGATACATGTAAAATGAATGGAAAAGCTAGAGAAAGCAACAAAACAAAAATAGGAAATGCTGCTATCAATAAGGTGTTTAGTTTTCTGGACATCCCGTTAATTTTAGAGCTGCTATATTCTGCACACTCTAGCCCTTGAAATGGAAGTTTACTGAAGATGGTTTGCATGGTAGACAGGGGTCCTCTGTTTTGAGCAAGCTTTAGAAACACAGCATATCAGGTATGAAGCACATTTTATACTCAATTCAAAGATCTTGTCACGTGCTGCCTTATTCCCGTTAGACATGGAATGGCTTAACTGGCACACTGTTTTAACAACTTCCAAAGGACATTTCTTCCCAAAGGAAGCTAAAACGGTTTAAAGAGAATGATATATGTGTATGTATATATGTACTTGATATATATATATATGAATGAACATATTATATTCATAGGTCTCCCCGAGCAGTATAACCAGACGATGCCCACTCCCAAAGTGTATCTACGAGAGAAGCGACAGAAGCTGAGACTGGAGCAAAGCCTTGGGGTGATGCTCCAGGACCAAGCCCCTCCCCACGAACCTCTGCTGTCCAGAGCTATCCAGACGCCCCAGCCTTGCCCCAGGCCACAGAAACACTTCACCAAAGCCCCCAGAGACCCGGCCACCACGTGACCCGCCGACACACACCAAAGCTTTCTCTCCCGAACAAATCCAACTTTTACTTTACTTTTCCTGGGCGAAAGCTTTGCGCATGCCCCCCGCCGCCTCTCCTGCAGCCCTTTCTTCTGCCCTCCAGCGCAGGCTGCGGGAGGCCTCGAGGTGTCTGCTTTCAACCCTGCCTGGCCTGGGGGTCCTGAAGCTCAGCCCCTGCCGGGCGGGCGCCCCTCCTTCAGCCGCCTGAGGGGGACGCAGACTCCTCCCGCGCGGCCCCGGGCGCGGGGAGCGGCCGGGAAACTTACCTGCGCGGAGCGGCTCCCGGAGCTCCCGCGTCGCCGTCAGCCGCGCGGCCGCCGCAGCATCGCCAGCAGCCGCCGCAGGGCCCCCGCCCGCCCCGGCAGCGCTGTCCTGTGCCGCACTTTTCCGAGCCTGGGAAGTCGGCGGAGGGCTCGGAGGTGGGAGGTGGGGGTGGAAGGTGGGGGTGGGGCTGGGCGATCGGGGAGAGGAGGCTTGAGGATGTTGTTTGTTTGTTTGTTTGTTTTTCCCGATCCCTTTCAAGAGACTTTAGACCATATGCTGGGAGAATATGAGCTTTGCTCAATGGCGACAAGGCACAGGCCTGACTCGCACAGTCCGATCGATTTACTAAACAAACTGAAACGTGGGTGGGGATGTTAAACAGTAACCAGCAGCTTCAATGAAAACTGAAAGCAGCGAGGCCGCCACCGCCTCGGCGCGCTCATTTCCCAGTTCCCAAGGCCCCAGGGCGACCGGCGCGCGGGCCAGCAAGTCCCCAGACCTCGGCCTCTGCTGGCCCGAGCGGCTCTCAGGGGCTGCCCGGAGGCCGCCAGGCGGGAACGCCACCTGCACGCGGCTTGACCATTTGCAGCCGGAGTCGTCTCGCTCCCGCCTCCCGCACCCCGAGGAGCCCCGCCAGGGTCCCCACCCACGGCCGGAGGCCCAGCGCGGGCCGGCGGCGCCGGCACCGTCCCCCGCCCCCGCCCCGGGTCCCGTCTGGTCTAGGCCAGTGGCAACCCGGGGGCAGTGCGTTTGGACAGCGGTGGCGGAGACAAACCTGCTGATCGCAGAAGGCAGATATAATTCCGAGCCAATGAGGTCCAGAAAAAGGCCGGAAGTATTGTTAAGGGGAATTAAATAGGTTCCTAGGAACAGCACTGCGGCCACACCACTAGCGGAAAACCATTTCATTAAACCGCACTTTGGGCCGCTGAGGTTAACTTCTGCACTGACGCTGTGACCACTTAGCAAGAGCTCCAGGAAGAAAGAGGAGACTCCTTTTCCGCCCGCGGCCAACCCAGCCACCTGTGGCTTCAGTCATTTAGCAGCTTTACATTTGTATCTGATAGAAGCGTCCTTTCTCCCTCCCATACCCTGGGCCCCTTCTCAATCTCTAGACTTCGGGAAATGATGCTCTGACCCATCCAGAGACGCGCGGGTCAACTCGATCAGGCTTTGTTAACCAAACGATATAGCCTGAAGTCGTGGCTTTTGAAAACATCTCAACAATTTAACTTCGTGGTTTCAGGAATGAGTGACTGCAGGTCAAACAAGTAATTATCCTCAGGAGATAAATAGTTACTTAATCCGTAAGGTTTTTCTTTTCCGACCAGGGGGTTGGTGGTTATTTTAAGACTGTAATGACAATGCCAGGGAGATCAAAGGGTTGGTATCTTCTCTTTTGCTCTTTAGATCGGGTTTACTAAACTTTCTCGGTTTCCTCCTTCTGAATCTCTTGCTGAAAGGCTCTTTTAAAAACAAGCAGTTGGTTGTTTTAGAAATCTGAACAAAGGGGAGAGATCATGTACTATTTTCTTTAAATCGACCTTCTTGAGAAAAAAACATTCTTTGGGTCCTTGCTGCCCATGCGGTTTGCAAACCTGTGTCACGAAAGTGGTCTCTCTCCAGGTCGCCTTCTGGAAATCCTCCAGAGACAACTGAAGCGGAAGAGTAACAATTAACGGGCTTTATTTATTATGCAAATCTTTCATACCTGTCTTGTTTAAAGATCACCTGTCGACATTCCCTTTAAAAATATTTCCACATACTTGGATAATGAAGGTCGTCTTACTATATGCCAAAATATAAATATATTCCCATAACGCATAAATAATTCCCATAAAATGCTGAAAGTCTGAAGACAGAAATTCTCCATTCCCTTACACGGAAGCTTTAATGCCACCTGACGTCTGTTGTGCCCAGCAGAGAAACCATATTTTAATTCAATAGTCTCAGTTTAGGTATGTCACTCTTAACCTCGATGTCAGTGGGTTCAGTTTTGGATAATCACCTCATCATCGATGTGTGGTAGGTTCCCTGATCCACCAGCAAACGACGGTCGCATGTTGTGTGTGCAAAATTATCTTGGCACAACACGTAGAAACTTTGCCAGAGAATTTTTGACTGGTGATGAGAGAAATGGTAGTACATTCAAGGAAGTATAAACTCGGTTAAGACTTATTCATTATCTAAAGGAAGCATTGCATTTGTTCCACTAAGAGAAATATCTGAGAGTTTATGTAACACTGCCAGTCCTTCCGCTCCGACAGCAAGAAGGGAGTGGTTCCAGATGACTAAATAAATAAATAGACAGAGAAGCGAAGTTAAGTGCTAAAGGAAGGTGTGAGGAGTTGTCTGGACAGTTTTTACTAGATCAACCAATGCCAATTGACCAAGGTTTAGAGCATCACTTATATTGTTCCTGTAACTAATTTATTACGATTCTTCATGGCATGGGTTTATGATGCTGAAAATGAAAGCTGTGCTCTAAGGAGAGCTGTCTTCTGATGCATTGTGGCGGGGTGGGGCACGATGAGAAGGAAGAGATCAGGATAATTTTTTAGGGAAAATGTCACAGAAGATATGAAGTTCTGTTTCAATAGTTAGCGTTTAGGGGGAAATTATACACATATGTATTTAGGTCACATCTGCTCTTTTAACCTAAAATTAAACACAGAAAATGTGGCGTCAAAAACACCTTTACTTCACTTTCCTGTTAAATGTATCATTTAGCCTGTGCTTTTTGCTTTCCGCTTTGTTCATCTGTTTTACACCATTTTTTCTTCTTCTCCCCAAGGCCACCAGATCGTCTTGATAAGAATTCCAGGTTTTCCCCTCGAGCGGTTCTGATACTATCAATTAAAAGCAATGGCCTTGGGCAGAGCGCTCAGGAGGTGGGGAGTGCGCGGGCAGGCGCGCAGAACCTCAAGAATAAAGGTATTCCAGGTATAAGCACCCAAAGAGACCCTCTTTCCCATGGGCAACTCCACGCCCCTCGCCCTACATCAAACCATCACAGGACGCGAGCGGGAAGTGTCCTCTCCGCGTCCAGGCGCCCCACCTCTCTGACCTGGCTACGCACGGGATGCTCCCCGGATCGCCGGCGCGCCCACACTGGAGCCGGCCACCGCCCGGCGCGGGCGCAATGGATGGCCATCACCGCCCACCCTCACGCACGTTTGCGCGCAGGAGAAAAAAAAAAGAAAAAGATCAAAAACTCATACAGTTCTCCACCTGCCGGTCCTTCCTGGATTTGGGCCGAGCCCGGGGACCCCTTCCAAGCCTATAAAGTCTGTGAAGGACCGCTGGCGGGAAGCGGCCCCGGGGACTCAGGTGAAATGAGTCTGGAGCTGCGCTCAGCGCATCCTCGAACTGGCCCGTGGGGGCTGTGTTTGACCCTGGGGGCGAAACTACGGGTAAAGCAGCCTCCGCCAGAATTTCAAAAACTCCCTGCAGGCCACGGAATGTTTTATGCATCAGAAAGGAAGGCCGGGATTCAGGTCACTGGGACTGGAAGCCGGGGAAGGGCTCGGCCAGCAGGGCGGGGGGTTGGGGGGAGGGCAGGCGGGAGCAGCCTGAAGCCATCCAGGCCTCCCGTGCGGGGCTGCGGGCTTTTTCCCCGCCAGCCACTCACTGCTTGCTCGTCCTGTCTCTTTCAAGGAAAGCACAGTCCTTTTGCTCCCTGGCACAGCCCTAAGCTAGGGCACTGATTGCGGAAGCTATAAAGAGGCAGGCTCCTGCCCCTGGGAAGGGGGATGTCGAGCCTTTTCATGTGCTCCAACCCTGCGCAGTAGCCTCCAGCGAGGTCGGCCCCTCCGGCCTGGAGCTGTAGTGGATTGTGACTCCGATCCCGGGGCTCTTGCACCCTCGTCTGTTTTTGATTTGTCGGACTTTTCATGGGGCACCCACCTTTAATGCCTTGAATTTAACGTGGTCAAACAAAACAAAAATCAGTAGAACCAGCAGATCGAATACAGAGGAGGGATTGAGTGGTGTCCCTCCACCAGCGGCTCCACCACCACCTTGTGATTTCTAAAAAGCAACGTCCAGATCCCTGCCTGGCCCTTTTGGGGAGTCACGCGCTTGAGAACACTTGTGAAAAGCTTCAGGCATGGCCTCGAGGACTAGGCGTTCTGCTTGCCCACTCACTGACCCAGATAAAAATTAGTCTGTATTTTATACACAAGGCACACATCAGGAGTACCCAGAATAAGTCCATATAAGTAAGCCCACAGGAATGTCCCCAGACTACGTTACCTGTTAATATAAATGTAAAGCCAAGATTTCAGATTGAGCGTCTAAATTGAAACTGCTCTGCATATGTTACGCATCTGGCTGAGACACTGTGAAAATCGAACATTCAATAATTCTCAATGTCAACGTAAGGTTCCTGTGCCAAAAAAGCAAACTGCTAGGCTGGATCTCTTTTCCCCACCCTCCCCCGCTCTTTGTAGATTTCCTGCTGAAGTATTGATTGCCAAGGTCTCTGCAAGATTTGCAAACTTTTACGGTCATTTATGATGCATGCAATAAAAAAGAGGTGATATGAGCATGCTAGTTCAAGGTGTAATGCAAAGATGTATTCGGTGCCCTTGGCAACTATCTGTGGGACCTGTTTGTCTTTGCAGAACACGCCCTTCTCTGCAATGAACCCCTCTGTGACAAAGAGTGGCCCTTTACATTTGCAGGGCCTTGGCCCCTCAGTGGAAAGACACGTGTTCAAACCAGAAAATTCGGTTATTTCAACCTCATTTCAAACCAGGAAAAAAAAAATCTAATCAAAACTGTGGAGAAAAAAAGAAGAATCTTTTTAAAGCTTCCTACTTCCCTACTATCTCCTATCATAAAGAAAAAAAGAAAATCGATTACCGAGTTATAATGCAATCTCTATCTGCCCCGTGTATGACAGGGAGCCACAGCACCTTCCCCTGTGAGAAAATAAAAGGACCGAGTTTACACAGAGACAACACACCATTTTAGACTGCACGTGCCCAAAGGAGAAAGAAAAAAAAAAATCTTGAAGTTTTATGTGAAAATACACGCCTAGTTAAATACAGATTGGTTGCTGGATTTGTTTTACAATTTTTCAATAAAGAAAGTAAATACGCAAGAAGGCTGTTGTTTTACTCTCTAATTGTAGACAGAACCTAAAAGCCTTATTAGAAACATTACACCCGTTTACCAGTATTACCAGTCCTTCTTTTGCTTTTTTTTAGGGCTATGTGTAGGGAGTTGAGGGAGAGAAAGAAAAGAGACTTAGTTCTAAAATTTCCTACTTTGAACCAAATCGGTTTTCTCATCTAGTGCTGCAAATAAGAGCAGCCCACACGTAGTTTCTGAAAGGTATTCAGAATCCTATACCTGCCATCTAGTGGACGTAAGAGAAAATGCTGATTCTAGACATCCTTAAAAGACTGACTCTCTAGCTGTTGTCTTACTTATAAACCAGGACGTGTCTCAGAAATAAAAAGGAAAATGTAACTTTCAAACTAAGGAAAGCAAATAAATAATTGTGTTAGGGCCTTTATAGCATAATTATTCAATTACACTCCATTTCCTTTTGTTTTTAGTAATCATTAAGGTTATTGATCTTTGCTGAGATAATCAATTTATTATACTCGTTTTTCTTCTGCGTATCCTCTCCACCTAGATTTTATGCCGTTCGTCTTCTTTTGGAGTAAACTCATTATCAGTTTTGGATCCAGTTCTTATTCAGATTTTAAAAAATCAAAAGGCAGCTAATAAGGATTCCCTTCCTATTTGGACTCAAAGTAAAATATCCACAGAAAAATCATCCTCCATTTCTCAAGACAGAGAGAAAGAGAGACAGAAAAGAAAAAAAGAAAGGGAGAAAGGAAGGAGGAAGAAAGAAAAGAGAGAGAAAGGGGAAATGTAGTTAATTATACTTTTACACTTGTTTTTGATGCCTTGTTACAAGTTATTATACTCCTTCAAAAATTGACCTCATCAAATGTCAAAAAACAGGTAGGTTAAAATCTACTTGGTTATGGCAACTTAAACCACATTTCCTTAAAGTTCACCTTATAAAATATTGAGCCTATGTAGAAGGTTCGCTGAATGAAATAGCCATTAAAAGATCATCACCACATTTTGCCGATAGCTGACTTTTTTCGGAGAACTTACAATGTGCCAGGCACTGTTTTATGGGCTTTTAATCAGTTAACACATTGAGTCCTTACAACAACCCTGGAAGACGTGTATTATTAACGCCATTTCACAGGTGATGAAGCTGAAGATGGGAATTATGAAGCAGGCGAGTGCAGAGCTGGTCCGGTTCCAGAGGCAAAGCTGTGTCTGCCATGTCATACTACCTCCCGTAGAGAAAAGAGGCAGAAAGAGCCCACTGCTTTCATGTTATAGGATAAAATAGATATGAGATACATCCAGAAGGAACATTTGATCGAATGTTTAAATTTGGTCTGCAAAATATCAGACATCCAAACGAAAAGGAAAAGAAATCAGTTAATCACCATTGTAAAAATCAAGTATTGGGAAAACATATTGTTATAAGTAAATAACATATTAATTAACTTCATCTGTTTAGTAGAATTTTTGACAGATATCATGCACAGCTTTCCCATGGATTTGTCCTACAGTCTATGCCCACTCGTACTTCAATTTCAAGGAATGAAGTTACTAAAGCTAAGCCAGACAGTCCTTGAAAAGCCCTCCAACATACTGTCAAAGATTTATCCCTGAGTTTAACTGGCCCTGTCAGCTCAATTACCTTCGCTCCTTGCCTCACTCTAATTTCAAATTTCATTTCCTAAACAAAACGTATATACATTCTGAACATATTTTTCTCTTCTCTAGTTACGCAAAACCTTCTCCTCTTTTCAGGACAGCTGCTTTACTAATATGAGCTAGTTCAAGAGTCAAGAATCTTAAATCATCACAATTAAATGTATTCAAATTCTCTCCAGAACGCTGTGCCGTGAGAATAAGGTTGCTCTTCTGGAAGACTATTGATAATTTTAGAAACTGTAGGTTCCCCTTCTCAGGAAGAAATAGTGACGCTCTCACAGGAAGAGGAGATTCAACTCCTGTTTAAGGTTAATCCCTCCACCTGTGTCCTTGATCCCATCCCTGCCTGCCTATGCCTGGCTTCATTCTAGCAATTCTTTCTTTTTCTGGTGTCTTCAGCCTCTCCAATGGCTTCTTCCCTGCAGGCTATAAATATGTTCAAGTCTTACCAGCAAACTAGAAAATTCGAAAGAAAACAAAACAGAATTTGCTGTGTCTATTCTGTCCCCTTCTGGTGTTGCCTTACGTTTTGTCCTTCACAGACAAGAATCACTAACCAAGTCGATTTATGGTCTTTTTGTCAACACCTTCCATTCCCTTTTCCACCCACCATAATCTGGCTTTCCTGAGTTTTACTCCACAGACCGCTTTTGCCAAGGGCTTTAGTGGCCTCGGGTTGGTAATCCAATAAGGACAATTTTGGTCCTTATAGTAAGTTCATCAGAGTCTACATCTAACCCTCTTAAATGTCTAACCCTCTTAAACGTTATCTGTATTTACCACTCTGCTCCACCATCCTATAACAGCTGGTATTTCCTAGGATTTTTCCCATAGACTTTTTTTCTTCTCACTCCATATTCTCTTCCTGGGCAGTCCCAGGCACTCTAACAATTTTCCCTACCGCAAAATTGGCTATTGCTTTCTTAAATTGTATGCAAACCCAGATCCTTCTCCTAAGTATCAGTACTATAAGAGCTTTGGTGTTCTAACTACCTTCTAAATAGTGTCTCTTAGACTTTTCAGAGGTGCTTCTAACTTAGAATGTCCAAAACTCTTCTAAGTTATCGTCTCCCCAAATTTGCTTCTCCTTTTGGATTGATTAATGGCACCGTTGTCCACCCAGTTGCCTAAGCCAGAAACATAGGACACATCAGTGACTCCACCTTTTTCATTATCCTGAGTCAGTATTTCAGTTCATCTGCTCCAGTGAATTAAAGTAAGGGTTTTATTTTTCTCACATGACAAAAAGTTTGAAGGTAAGTAATTCCCACCTGGCAGGGTAGCCAAACGATGCCATCCAGTCTCAAGCTCTGTCTGTCTTCCTGTCCCACCATCCTTAGTGTGGGACCCTCATTCTCCTGGCTACAATATGCTCCCTTCATTTTATCTGCATTCCAGGCAGGAAGGAGAAGGAAGAGCAAAGGGCCAAAGGATCATGCCAACTATCAGAATCACCTCCCTTTAGATTGCTTCACTCTTAAATGTCCGTCAGCAATTCCTCTTTACGCCTTATTGGTCAGAACTGGATCACGAAAAACCATTTACAGCTACAGTCATGTGTCACTTAACAACAGGGATAGGTTCTGAGAAATGTGTCATTAGGCAATTTTGTCATTGTGCGAACATCTTAGAGTGTGCTTAGGCAAACCTAGATGGTACAGATGGTACACACCTAGGGAATATGGCACTAAGCTTATGGGACCATGTTGTAGATGCAGTCCATTATTGACCAAAAAGTCATTATGCAGCCGATGACTGTATACATTATAGGAAGGTATCTTTGGTAGCCAGATGGCCAAGCAAAATATATTTGGAGCCTTATTAATAAGTATTAATAAACAATATTTCACTTTATATCAAGCTATCTCATAACTTAACGGGTTAAAATAATAATAATTATTGTGTCTCATAATTCTTTGGGGGTGGTGGGACAGTTCTGAGATGGCTCGGCTGAAGCTGGAAGATCTACAGTGGTCTCCTGCTCATGTCTAGGACCTCCTCTGGGATGGCTGGGCCTCCCTGTCTCTTAATGTGACCTCTCATCCTTCAGGAGGCTTGGGCTTCTTCTCATGGTGGTCTCAGGATTCCCAGAAGCAAGAGAAGACAAGCCTCAATGCTCTAGTACTTTTTAAGCATCTGTTTATATCACATTTGTTAATGTCCCCTTGGCCAAAGCCATTCTCATGGCCAAGCCAAAACTCAAGGGCTAGAAGATCCTACTTCCTGATGGGAAGATGGCCCAGTCACAATGCTTATAGGGATGGGAGGAATTTATGGCCATTTTTTCCCAATCTACTACAGTAAGAAAGTACGGGAGAATAGATATTGCATGGGCAACAGTAGTGACTGCCTCATCTAGCATATTTTGACATTTAACCTGTCAGTGTCTTAATTAATAATACTTAAAAAAAAAGTCTGTCTATCCTATGCATTCTCTTAATTTTCTAACTCCCCGCCTCCAGTTCTTAATTAACTTTCATATCCATGATTGTTAAACTTCCTTGGGTTTGGGTCACTTAGAAAATCTGATAAAAATTGTGGTCCGCCATGGACTGTTTGTATCCCTTCCAAATTCATATATTTAAACCCTAACCCCCAATGTGGCTGCATTTGGAGATGGGACCTTTAAGGATGTAAATGAGGTTAAAAGAGGTCATAAAGATGGTGTCCTGATCTAATAGGATTAATGTTCTTATAAGAAGAGACGTCAGAGGGCCTGCTCTCTCTCTCTCCATGTGCACTCATCGAGGAAATGCCGTGAGGGGACACAAGGAGAATGTGGCTGTCTACAAGCAAGGAAGAGACCTCTCACCAGAAACCAAATTTTCGGACACCTCAATCATAGACTTTAGCCTCGAGAACTGTGAGAAAACAAATTTCTGTTTTTAAGCCACTCAGTCTGTGATATTTTGTTTGTGCAGCCCCAGCAGACTAGTACTGGTCTCTCTCTCTCAGGAGAAGTAAACAATTTCACAACTCACAGAACTTTCTAGGCAACGTCAAATGACTCTGGACGCCTTGAATGCCACCTAGGCATTCCTTGCTCCTCAAAAATATCCGAGATAGCTTTCAAAAACACAAATTTCTTGACGTGGTCACCTATTGTACAACTGTTAATAGCTTCACATGAGCTCCAAACTGCTTAGTCTGGCCTGCAAGGTCCCTCTGACATGGCCTGGTTCCTCCCTGGTGCCACTGATTGTCAGAGCCACTCAAAGCTTCCTTCTCCTTGAACCAAATTACAGTAGTGAATTGGCTTGAGCACAGTACCCTCACCTCCCTCTATATCTTTACACCTGTTGTCACGTCCATCTAGAATGTCCTCGCCTTTCTTTTTTTTCTGGTGAACATTTACTCATTTTTTTGAACATTAATTTTTCTGG